CGAGTGACCTTGTTTAACACCTGATGTCATTATAAACGGATCATTAATCTTCTCTGCAATGTATAATTTAAACTGAGATTCGTGCACACATTTGAATCTACCTAATCAATTTGCTTGGCATTTCATCTCCCGTCAGCACTCGGAACAACTGATTCCATTTGATGCTGTCAAAGGCTTGTTTACAAGTGACGAAGAGAATTCTGAATCAATTTTGTAACCATGACATTTTCCCATTATTTGCCTAATTGTATAAATCTGTTGTTCTCTAATTGTATATGTATGTTGTTCCTTGACTTTGCCGCATTCTACATTGATACTCCTGTATATTTTCAGTGAAGTAGTTTACTCGCTTCTGAACTAAACTAGAAAATATCTTATACACAGTGTTCAAGAGTGTAATGTTTCTATAATTCTTACAACCGAGCTTGTCTCCTTTCTTGTAGATGGAACATACAAGCCCACTTTTCCATTCTCTTGGTATTTCATTTCTTTCCCAAATCATACATATTATGTAACGCCTTCATCAATTCCTCTGCGCCAGCTTTTATCAACTCCCCAGCTATTTTATCTTCTCCTGGTGCTTTCCCATTCCATAGCGTTTTCACAAACTTCCGTATCTCTTATATTCTTGTTGTTTCTATCTCAGTTTCAGGTTCTCCATTATTATCTTCTGATAGTTCTCTTTCGCTTCCATGGCCATCTTCATTACTGCTATTGAAGAGCTCATTGTTACATTCAGCCCATCTTTCCAACACCCAAACAACCTTATCTCCTTCACAATACTCTCCATTGACACTATTACATTTGTTCCAGCGGTGCTTCCACTGTTCGAAACAGTTTTTGAAGTCATCTTTAGTAATGGCTGATAGCTCCTCCCTCGTTTTATTTCTTGGCCTCTTCAATGTTGTCAAACCGTTGTCCTTTCATGTTTTTTTTCATACGTGGGAACAAGAAAAAGTCGCACGGAGCCAAATCAGGCGAGTAGGGTGCGTGGGGGTGCGGTACCATATTATTTTTAGCCCAAAATTGCCGAAGAGTGATAGCTGTGTGTGCAGGTGCGTTGTCGTGATGTAAGAACCACTCTCCTGTCTGCCACAAATCGGGTCTTTTTTGTCGAACACTGTTGCGCAATCTTCTTAAGACTTCCAAATAACATTTTTGGTTTATGGTCTGATTTGGGGGAACAAACTATGCATGAACTACGCCCTTTGCATCAAAAAAGCAAATTAGCATTGCTTTGATTTTCGATTTGACGTGACATTTCTTTGAACGAGGTGTCGAGGTTGTCTTCCATTGGCTTGACTGTTGTTTTCTGGTTCGTAACCATAGCACCATGACTCATCTCCAGTAATTATTTTTGACAGAAAATCTGGGTCGGTTTCAAGTTGTAATGCACGTCCGTTAAAATTCGCTGAACCGAGCTCCAAGATATTCCACTAATCTCTGTCAGTTTTTCAATTGTGTGTCGACGATCTGTGTGCACAAGCTCTCGAATTTTGTCAACATTTTCGTCGATTCGGGCAGTTGAAGGACGTCCAGAAACAGTTTGGCATCAATTTACATGTCGCCATTTTTTAAAACGAGCGAACCAATCGTACACTTGGGTTTTTCCCATAGCTTTACCTTTGTAAGCTATCTTCAACATTAACACAGTTTCAGAAGCATTTTTTCCAAGTAAGAAACAAAATTTCACAGCTGCACGTTGTTCACTTATCTTCAGAAAAAGAATAGACAGAGAGAGAGAGAGAGAGAGAGAGAGAGAGAGAGAAACGAAATACGAACAGAACAGCGCTCGCGAAAACTATATATGCAGACGAACAGAACAAGCCAGACCAACATACCTAGGCGAAACTGAACTGCAATGCGTTGCGTTGCACGCTCCTAGCGGGATAATTTCATACTGTACGCTGACAGCAGAGCTATTCCGGTTATTTTTGGGTACCCCTTCATATATTATTCCTTGCCTGCTATCCCTTAGTCATGGTTTTCCTGCTAGAATTTTCTATTCTATTTTGTGTGGATCAGCTGTTCGATCTTTATTGTTTTACCTTTCAAAAACTCTCTTTTCGAATTACTTTTCTGGCTTCTTTTCTACTCTTGTTATATTTTGCCCTTACCAATCTAGTTGTCATTGTCTTTGTCATTGTATTTGTAACATTTGTATCATTCCTATTTCTCTCGTTCATTGCACTTTTACGTTCTTTATCAAACCATTCTTTATTTCGTTTCCCCTGTGGTATATGCCCTATGGTACTTTCTACAGCATCCATTATGGACTCTTTTAAACATTTCCACTAGTTACCAACTGCTTCGTCTGGCGACTTACCTCATTGGTCAGCGTGCTCGCTTTCCATGACGCGACCCCGGCTTCGATTCCGTGTCAGGCAAAATTATAGTGTGCGTGTTCCTTGCAATGTCCCAGTACATGATGCTGTGTGACGAAAATTCACTTCTCTGGTTGAGAAGACCAGAATACGGCACGGCGAGGGGATGTCTTCAAGCCAACCACACGTACAAGAACCCCATGACCCATGACCGCAGGGCCGGGCCGCCGCTGGTAGGCCATGGTCCGTGCATGGGCCGGCGCGCCAAGTACAAACAACTTCATTCTCGTTTTTCACTTTCTGTCGCTATCTTTAGTTCATTTTCCATTATTTTCTTATAATTTTCGATAATATTTCTTCGTGAAGCAGTGCAATATTCCAGTTCTTTCTTTTACACCCACACCCCTGTTTAGAAGATATTTATCTTTTAGAGGTACTTGGACTAACTAGATAAGGATCTAAATCACAGTTTGGTCCCCTTGCAGATCTAACATCTATTGTCGATGAAAATGTCTATTTATTAGAACATGGGCTATCTGATTGAAAGCTCCGGGTATTATTCATGTGTATTTATGTATGTTTTTATGTTCAAAGAATGTACTCCTTATGAATACGACGTAGGTTAGTCACTAACCGAAAAATTCGATGACAGCAAAACGTCTGTGAACAACGCTAGCGGCTAACCTCCAGTACGATTTTCACCAAAATGTACATTCCCCGATGGATCTCTGGCCTCTGAACTTTGAAACTGATATTTTTATTTTAGGGGATACTTATAAAGCCTCGACAATTTAAAAATGTTCTCAAAAAGCTCCAAAATTTTTGTTTAATTTTATTTCACGAACAGAACAAAGAAAGTCAAAAAAATAGCGCAATTCACATTTTCGATAAATTGTCTGAATTTTCGAAAATTGCAAAAGCTCGGCATCTGACTGAAAAATGCAAATATTTGATTGTGTTACACTACCTATTCTCATAGTGAGAACAGACTGAATCCTCAGTGCGCACTTTTTGGAGTCTTCCTACTACTACAATATTAATTTACAGATTTTCCCTTCAAATGAAATTTGTTTTCCACAATTAGTGCCTTGAACATTCCTTTATACGGCAATATTAAAAACAAGATTAGCAAAAACGTCTCCATTTTTTTCTTTACACTTTTTGTTTTGATGGTGTTAAATCCACTAAATAATATGTGATAATCACCATTTTGATGTAGTATACTTTGGATTTTTACTTTCTCGCTCTTACGTCGTAAGAAGAGAAAGTATTGTAATCATGCTCCGAAAAAACGGCGAATTTTCGGCAGAAAAATTCTCTTGGCTCAGATCAAAGGGTAGTGTAGTATAAAAGCAAATAAATTATATCAATCAAATAAAAAAATTAATAATTTTCGTTCAAGCACATTTTTTAGAATTTAAGGCCTTAAGTTAATCAAACTCAAAGCTGAAAATGAAATTTATATTTTGGGTCTAAGTAAAATTTCACATACACACACTATATGTATACATATACACAGTGGACTCTGGTTATCATGAATTTCTAGAAACTAATATTTTTGGTTCACTAAGTTCAATGATGTCAAAATTAATTAGCAGTTCTTCATAACGATTGATTTTATTAATAGAGATACAGCAAAATGCATTAACAGCACAAACTGAAATTTTCAATATATTTATCCTGAATATACAATTATTTTCTACTGTTTACTTCGTTCTTTTTCATTAGTATTATCTCTAGATCCTTCTCCACTGTTTGTGCTCTCTCCATAACTGATTCTATAATGTCCTCCGTGTCGTAGTATGTAGTTTTGACACCCTTCAATGCCTCTTGCACTGTTGGAACAACGTCCCATCCCTGAAGGCCCTTTTATTCACCTAATAAAATACGAGATGCTTTCGGTAGCGGGTTGGCGCAAGTGGCTAATGAAACTGATCGGTAATGATAACCGGAGTCGACGGTATATAGTGGGAATATGTTTTGTGGGCCCTTGATACCGAAAAATTGACTGGCGGTAAAACGTTTGTGGTCAACATAAAAACCGTTCATTCAACTTTCTCCAAAATTGATATTCCCTGACCGATTTAAATGAACTTAAGGACCTCTAACTTTGAAACGAATATTTTTATTTTGGGTGGGTACTTTATATAATAGCTTCAACATTTCCAAATTTTCTCATGTCTCCCAATTTATTGTGCTTGGTACTCTGGTAGCATGAAGGACGCTTCAGAGAATAGTACAGGTCTCATACTTCAATAACATGGTATAGTATATATTGTTAATATACAAGTTAATCTCATTAATACAAAAACCATGTTTCAAAATAAATCGAGCTCATAGGCATAGCTCGTCATTAAAGGTTGTAAGGCAGCGCATCTCCAATAGAATGTGTGTGCATATATTTATATATAAAATTAATAATAATAATAATAATAATTATTATTATTATTATAATTATAAATTAAGAACAGAAGAAGAAGAAAATAAATATTGGAGCACCACTCCTCCAAGTTGCACCAATGGAGATCATTGATAGTAGATTAGCACTTACAAATGCTAAAATATTTCTGCCCTTGGTGTAACTGTCTACCATTTCTTGCACTATTTTCTCTTTATTTGTCAATCTGGTATGTTGAATGATCACTTATTAATTATAACAAGAAAATATTACAACACTTATTTCTAAAATATTTTTTTATTCTTTGGTTTACACAAAATATTACATTAATACAATTCCCATATTTTTTTATTCATAAGTATGGTAAACAGTAAAAACATCATACTCCCATAATTTTTTTAAGAAAATAGGGCCATGTTATTTTCTTGGTTTTAGATTGAATCACATTTTGTCTCACTTCAAAATGGATAGATATAATTCCAAATGAAACAAAAACAAAATCCCATCATGGAACACTAAAATACCAGACACTGTAGCATGTGCTTTTACATTCATAGGAATATACGTACAACAAGGAAGAAAAACATCAAATGACATTCAAACATCATTAATGATGACACATTCAACAGTAAACTTTACACAACAGATGCAACGAACATGAATAACTAACATTCATAAAACACAAATTACAATACCAAGGTCCACAACAAATCAGAGTACATAAGGGTTTCTTTTCTTTCGAGTGACTCCCTTTTTAACTGATGAATATGTCACAGTTTTGTCATCGGCAGAAGTGTGTTTACTATCAGCTGTTTCTAATGGAACAGCTATTCGTCTTTCATATTTTCTTAATGCCGGTTTTCTTTCAGGAGATATAAAGATGCATTCAGGTGAGGAAGAACGTGTGAGCTCATCTTCATCAAGAGGCAAACAATTACCATTGTGAACTTTTATACATACATCTTCTGGAGAATTATCTGACTCAGACTTCTGAGTGATTACAGGTACTTTGCGACTGTTCTTGGTTACTTTTGAAATCTTTTTTTGGGAAGACTTCTGGGTATTTTTTGCAGTATTGTCTCCCATCAAAGAATTTTCCTTAGTTGATCTATATCTGGTTTTCCTTGGAGTCACCATCTTTTCCTCCCTTTCAGATGTCACTTCACATTCACTCTGTAAATTTAAATCCTTTAGGGTATTCTGAGATGGTATAACTGAAGTGTCTGGAGACACAAATTCAGCATCTGATGAATCTGTGTAAATTATCACTTTTGGTTTGGTTTTACCTTTTGCCTTATCATTTGACATTTCGTTTGTACTTTCTCCCTTCATTTTGGAGTTGTTCACCGGCTTCAAAGATTTATAAGTTACTGGTGATAATTCAGTATTAGATGAGCCATTTCTTTCACTTGTGTCCATTAATGGAGATTTAAAATGTTTTCTGTTTGTCTTTGGCAACAAATTACAATCATTGTTTTCTAATTCTGAAATATGATTTAGCTTTTTTGAATGTTTAGATTTTAAGTTTCGAGTAGAGTGACTTGTTTCTCTTTCTTCACTAAAATTAATACTGAATGTTTTTGAAGATCCTCTTCCTGCATTTTGTGTTTTGTGAGCTGAATCTTGGGAAGTACAAATTGCAATGTTTTCTATTCTTTCAGAAATTATTTCAATTTCCTGTTCTTTTTGTGGACATAACTGATTTGATGAAGGAGAGAAATTTAAATTTGATCCACTTTCAAATGAGTTTCCTTTTTCAACCGTTTCAAGGATACAATCATTAACACTGGAATCATTGAAATTGATGCAAGCTACAATTTTTTTCCTCCCTTTGTTTCTGAGGTTCTTTTGTCCATTTTCAGTTTCAGCAGATTTTAACTTTGCATCTAGTTTTAAAACCACAGAAGGAGACAATGCTTTTGAAAGATGCAAATGATCTTCATTTCTATTTAATCCTGGTGCATTTACCAAACAGTCTCTGTAAGATTTTGGTGTTTTCATTATTTTTGGAGAGAGAGAGTCAGGGTCTCCATTCAATGCCTGATTTTCTTTCTCATCATCTGTATCTGCAAAGAAAATAGACAAAACATTTTACACAAACAAGTCAAAAGAACCCCAGAAGTGCATCAAAAGTTGGGAAATTACTCTTGTAAAAGAGAAATTCAATAAACAAAATAAGTCTATTGCGATTAAAATAATTTTAATCACCAGATGAAGAGAGTACAGCATAAACAAGAACAACTGGCACTTACCTAGCTGATCATTTGGAGTTTTATTCATCTCATTAAACAACACTTGAGTCTTATCAATCATATCCAAAGCAACATGAAGATTGCACTCCTGTGACTGAAGCAAACTTTCAAGAGAATAGGTAGTCATATGTTGAACTAACTCATAATGGCGAGTCAAGAACAAAAACTCCCCATAAGCCAAGGATAATTTAGAATGGGCTGAAAGAAAGGGATCAGAAAGGGAAAAATAAGAATTTGAAACCTTTCCAAGAATAGTTACGCTAAGATTATTAACAATTTTCTCCTGCATGTCTTTTAGTCTTTCACAAAGATTCATGCCACCTTTGAAATATGACAAGGCTAGATTATTTTCCCCCTTCAAAACATGAAGTTGTGCCTTTATTAAAGCTAGTTCTGCAAGCGATGTCTGCAGGAGTAAGCTATGACAGTACAAACATTTACAGTTTCCCTTATGTCTCAAAATAAATGGCATTTTAAAAGGGGATTTCACGAGCTCAGGAGAGCCCATAAGATTAGTTGGAACTGGTGAAGGGACATCTAATAATTTCATTCTTGCAATTTCACTATCCAAAGATAATGTGTCTGAAATTTCTTTCAATTTTTCACAAGAAGGTTGTTTTTCAATCTTATCAATAGAAGGACATGTTTTCCTCAGGCAAAGGATTGCTTCCAAACCATAAACTTTTACTTCTGCATTTTCAAGTTCCTGGCATAATAGGTCAAACTGAGCAAGCTTGGACACAAGCAGTGAGCACCTGCAAAAAGAAATAATTATCAAAATAATTGAATGGGAACATATATTTACTATTTTTCACTTAAGATGTTCAATTCGGAACCATCACTCAAATAATCTCTTTGCCCAACCTTTCAGATTTGTATTTTTTTTAAATTCCTTTGAAAACCCAGACACATGTACCGTACTCCTGACCGATTCGAACAGCTCACATTTATAAATTATTCACTCATTACCAGTATTATATTTAAATCTCTAAGTTGAATAGAAAAAAATGATGTTTACTACATTTCTATGAGTTTTGAAACATAAAATCTTAGATTCACAAAAAAACAAGACATCATGAAAAATGCAATTATTATATCTCAAAATTATCTCATTAAAACAATCAAAGGCAGGTTGTAATTTAGCAACAGTATTTATAAAAGTCACTTTATTCTAAATTGCCTCCCTTTGTTTCTGTAGTGGAAAGAGATAAAAACAACATTAATTATGACAATATTAAAAATAATATTGACAAGTGGTACTACAACAGCAAATTACAATATTCCTCTTTGCAACGTCTATATTACACATACTTCGACCAACTTTAAATCTCAAAACCAAATAAAGCACACGAGTTTTGAAAAAAATTAATATCTTTAAATCATGTCACATACAATAAAAGCATTAGCCTTTTACGGCCGGAGTCAGAATCAACGTGGCTCTCCAGGAGATGGCACATCTTAGTCTGTCATGCTGCCACCATTCTCAGGATAAAATGAAATGTTGGCATCTGAGCCTAGAGCAAGGTATCTACAAGTTTTTTGAAATAATACTACTTTCGCATTTTTTAATTTTTGTTTGTTTTTTTTTAGTGTAAAGAACAGAGCATTACTGTAATGGATCATGATTAATAATTAATATGTATATATCGTATATGTATACATAGTAATGAGTCATAATTACATGTTGTATTTCATTCATATTTGATGTCAGAGCAGTATGTATAGACATGGGTATATTGAAATACAAAATCACTGATTGGCAATGTTTCAATGTCATGGAGACTGTCGATTTGAGAAAACAGACAACAATCAACAACCAGAAAGAAAATACACATTCTGGAGCAAGGACAAAAAGTTTAGTAGAACACTTCAGTCAGAGTGGTGTAATTCAATGGAGAATTTGATGGATGCAATATTGGCAGCGAATTTGTTTGAGAACAGGATTACAAAAAAATTAAATATTTGGCAGAGTCGATAGAGTGAAATTGTCATGCATGCATGCATGCATGACAATTTCAAAAAGGTCATTTAGATGCAAATTGGCTATGAAAGAATACTCAATAGAACCAGTGATGGAAATAAAAATTAAAGGATAGTGATAACCAGTGAAGGTAGATCTCTAAGAGAAACAAAAGAATAAAGTATAAAAGCAAATAGAATACTGTCTCAACCAGTCAATATGGTATGATTTATATCTTAAAGACACTAAGATCAGAATATTCATAAAAGGCAGTAATTAGACCCATTCTGTCTTTTGCAGCCAAAACCAGAACAGAGGAAGAAAATATGTCAAATGATGGAGATATCAGAGATGTGAGTGTTAAGAAAAAATTGTAAACAAAATGCTAAGGGATAAAGAACGCAATACTAACATACAACAAACCTGCCAAATAGACCTCACGTCAGAGTGGATTTGGGAAAGAAGAAGACAATAGAATGACCACATAGACAGAATGGAGGAAGATACTGGTGAAGGTGCAAGAAACAGAAGACGCAAAGGAAGAAGAAGAGTGGATCATGGAAGATCATGTTAAAAAGAAACTTTGTAAACTTATGGTAGTCTGAACAACGTAGAATGTAACCCATGAAAGTGGTTACACAAAATGTGAGTAGTTTTAAAATAAATCTTTGTTTAAAAGAACAGTCTGAGGCTACAAAAAGAAAGATGATTTAGTGGAATTGGACATAAAGGATGGACTTTTGTTGTTTGGTAAGTAAACAAGACAAACATAGGTATTGTTAATGAAATTTCTGAAATTAACTAAATGTTTTATTGATATTTTCAGTTTAAAAACAATATAGTGCTGGAAGAGGAATGGCCAAAAATAATTTCTGATTTTTCTCCTGATTGTGTGTGCTAATGAAACTGGACTATATTTCCATGCTCTACCTCAGCACACACATTTGTTTAAGAACAAAATGCTTAAGTCTGTAAAACAAGTAAGAAGCACCTAACTGTTTTGTGTTGCAAACCTATGTCTGACAAAATGATTGTTGGTAGTTGGCAAAAGTAAGAATCTGCAATGCTTTAAAGGTGTTAAAAAATTTCCAGTGCATTTTCATGCAAACTCGAAGGCTTGACTGACTCTATATTTCAAGAATGATTATTGAAGTGGGATAATAATTACTCGAAAAGTAATTTTATTGGTTGACAACTGTGCAGCAAATTATTAGTTAAAGAAGATCAACACAAGCCAATACGATTTCAGTATTGCAACCATGTGACCATAGAATCATTCGAACTTTAAAGGCGTATTATCGCCATGAGATGCACACAAGAATTCTTGAGAACATAGAAGAGACACAGGGAAAAAGTGCTAACGATCTTGCTAATGAGACCAATGTTCTTGATCCCCACACCATTTAGCAACGTCATGATATAAAGTGTCTGTGAGTACAATCCAGAACTGGTTCTGGCATGAGGGGTTTTCAAGAGAAACATCAGAACGTGAAGAAATCATGTGCACTTGACCAGCGAATATGACAGAAAACAAATTTCCGGAATGGCGGTGAATGAAAATATCACATCTGCTAGATAGACACAAGACTATGTTTGTGAAATCATCATTTCTACAGTCACAAGTGGCAGCAGAGTGTGTGGAGAAGAAATTTACAATGATGCTGTGGAAACGTCTTAACCTCCAACATCCGCAGGCATTAGAAATTTGAGACACAGTGTTCAGCACAGGTCAGTTTATTTCAAGAAACACTATGAGAACATTTACATTAATGGAATACTCAGAGAAAACCAGAAGCATACTTTAATAGAGAACTGATATACATTATAGAAAATGTGTGTAATATGTAATATTGTTTGTGTCTATGTATGGGCAATATGAAGCCCAAATAAAGTGTTTGCGTGTACGCATGCGCATGAGTGTATACACACACGTGCAACTGCAGGCGCACGCGCACACAGTCGATTTTTTTTCCCATCTGACTTCTCAAATTCAAGTTATAGTATATAAGAAAAGTAGTTTGTCGCAATAGTACAAATTCTTAACAAAATTTAGAGGGAGCGCGAATGTCTTGAAAATGGCATCTTTTGGCCATTTTTCATTGAATCCCCTATATATCTGAATAATAGTTTGGAAGATAAAATTTTTTTGATATGTTGGTAACAGGAAACTACTTTTTAATAGTGTGATGCTAAAAAGTAGTCATAATATTTTGTGAATTAAATATACAAAAACCCGATTTTCTCACAAACGGCTCTAATTTTTTCTTTAAACTTTTAGTAGGGATAGTACAAAAAGTACTATGCAAAAATGGCAAACTCTCTTTTCCTCTATTCTTTTGTTTTTTTCAAAAATTAGAAAAAAATTGTTTTTGAAAACTTTCGTCATGTCTTTAATACTTACATTAAATACGATTTCTATATATTATTGAATTTGTTAAAAAAAAGTGCTTCAAATGATGTCTTAGTTTCTCGAAACCTCAAAAGCCTTCTGTGAAAATGAGCTCAAATTTCCACATTTTAAGAAATGCTCAAATACCATAAATGTGACATTGGAAACTTTTGAGTTTTTGAAAAACTTCATTGAAAGTCATTTAAAGCACTTCTATTCATAAATGGAATAATGGGTACAAATCCCCAGAAATGCACATATTAAAGGCAAGAGAGATTTTTTTAAATAATTACATTAGCTTAATTTTTGAAAAACCAAAAAACATAGCAAAATGAATTTTATGTCATCTTAAACGGTGCATTTGGCACTAACCATGCAAAAAGTATAAAGAAAACCTTTTGAGCCATTTTGAAGAAAATCACATGGAGCCTTAGAGGAAATCCACCATGGCCACCATGTTGGCCATGAAGGGCAACAATTGTATACACACAAGAGAAAATATACATACATAACTAATACGAAATCAATCTTACCTAGAAGCAAGCCCCAATATTTGAGCACAAGTCAAATACGTTTTTAGATGTGCATATCCATCACGATACAATTTCATTCCCAAGCACAAATTTGCTGTCCATTCTGCAGCCTCCATCATCATTAAATGAAGACTGCAATTCTCAAAAAGGCTCTCTGAAACAAAAACTGTACTTATTAAGTATTCTATTACTGACAAAACTAAGGACAGTTTGGCCTTAGAAAATTCTGCACTATAATTTCGTATAAATATAAAATTTGCATTATGATCAATATTACACAATGGTATAAAAAGAGTTGGAGTTGTTTCAGAAAAGCAGGTGATTGCAAAGGTTGAGACTGATGATAGGGAAGAGGTAACAATAGAAATGTTTAAAAATTGATGATGGCTGGTGATTAGTAGGGCAATAATGGTCAATTCTGGAGATGATGATAATGATAATAATGATAATGATGATGATGATGATGATGATGATAATAATAATAATAATAATAATAATAATAATAATAATAATAATAATAATACAAAGCATCACAAAGGCGGACGGAAATTTAAAGAAAAAATTTGGATAGTACCCCCAAACTTTAAAGATTTTTTTAAAATCTGAAAGCTTCGACTCGAGTCAGATCAACACGGTTTTCTTCAATTTGAAAAACATTCTACATATGGTTTTGCCGCGTGTTAACGGACGGACTGAATGGCTGCCAATTGGGTTTTTCAAGTGCCCTTAAAACAGGGTTTCTGGCTACACCACGTGTTAAAATTTTTTTTACCCTAATTTAGCAGCTGTATTTATCCCCATTTTCGTTATCAATGATTTTTTTCTGCTGAAAATCCGCTTTTTTTTCGCGCACCATGTCATAAGTTTCCCTATATGGGAAAATAAAAATGTACTTTGGGCAGTGATAGATGGCAGCTGGCAATAGTAATAGGAACGAATAGCTAGCAGAGACCAAAGGTCATAGAAAACTAATACAGGAAAGTCTGTGCCATTCTGTAGCACCACTAGTTTAAAATTTATAACCAAAATAAAGGTAGGTATTTCCACTGTCCTACAAAGCAATGGTGCTTGAGGGAGCATTACTGATGGATTCATGATTACTCCAGGTGCTGTTAGGAGTGTATCCGAATTTTGGGGCTAAATGTGCAGGATAAACAATATCCTTGCTCCTGTGAGCAACAAACAGCCAAGCAATCGCAAAAGATATCATTAGTGCAGTCTTCTATAAGTGCACTAAAGATTAGTAGTAATAAATTCGAATACAGGAAAGTATCAATAAATTGGTCGTCAGTGTCCAAAATAACCACATGGATGAGGGGCCAGAAGAGGAACAAAACAACAATTCCTAAAGACCTAAACAAGACAAAATAGCAATGTTAATGTCCTGTATTTGTCTTTATTTCTAGATTCACTTGCAGTTTTTTCAGAAATGTTACTTTACGCATGACCTTTTTTTTGTAAATTAATTCAACTGTAACAAATGCTAAATATTTTTCGATTTTCTTCCAACGCTAATGCAAAACATACAGTTTAAGTAAAACGATGAATTACCATCAAAGGGAATGTGCTACACGAGTCTTTCAAAATTGGTGAATTAGCGTGATATTTTGAACTTCATACAACTCTACGACTCAGTTGAGGATAAAACAGAAAATGTACAAAGTGATTTAAAGGAAACTCAATGCTCTTCAACTATTATTCTGTAAAACAAAGGGCTGGAAAGCTAGAAACAAAACCTTGATCAAGAACGTGAGGGTAGTTGTTTTTAAGAGTATATCGTGGCATACTTCATAAGCTTTTATTGTATTAAAGATTTGCATTTATTATTATTAATTACCACCACCACCACAACCACCACCACCACGGCAACATGATGAATCGTGAGCAATTTACTGGTTTTTCGATCCATGATTATAATTTCTTGCTCAGTCCAGTCCAGTCCTCTGAAACTACACAACTATAGGCAACACCAAAAATACCTATTGAAGATATTTTGTACCTGGAGCTCAGAGGGGTCTGCAGGACACGTCTCATTCTTTAATATTCCCTACGAATTCTCTTTCATTGTGTTGTTCAAGATATTTTCACATTCTTCAATGCCCAGATATTTGTAAGTTTTACACGGCTCAAGATCTTGAATTATAGTGTGCATATCAACTCCAATGCTCTCTGGCATTGTCACTTTGCCTCTCTTTAAATTATTTTTTGTACACTTGACAAGACTAGTTTCATTAATGACAGCATTTGGAAGAGAATTGCTTCATTCTTAGCAAACACTTTAAGACCATCCATGTAAAACAAATGTGATAATGGCCTTTTATCACTTGTATCCAAAGTCACTGTGCGACAACTGAATAGAAAGTGGGATCAAACTCATACAAAATAGCAGAGTAAAGAGAATCTCTTTGAAAAATAGCCCTGTTCATCTGAATACTTGTTTCTACTGCTTCCTTTCAGATCAGTAGCGTAATGGAATAAGTGTGGGCCACCCGCTAAACTTAAAAGACAACCCGGCCCCTTTATAAAGCGTTAGGGTGAAGCGAGTAGTGTTAGCAACTCAACACTACTTGACTCCAAAAACAGGACTCAAGTAAGTGTTAAAAAATAAAAATAGGCCGTTTTAATGAACCCCCGCCCCGTACTGCGGGCCCACAGCCCGAACCGCCCTGCGTTTCCACTGCATTTAGTTAATTGGTTAGTCCATGACCTTTCACACTACTTTTGTAATCTCATAAGTCTCGGGATGAAATCGATATACTATTGGGCTTTTCAAATTTGAGATACAAGTGTGGTACAGTCAAAGGGTTTGGTATCATCAAGCCATTTAATTAAGTTTTCATTTCCTTAATCATTTTCAAGATGACATTTCATCGGCAAGATTTCCTCAGCCTTTGCGACCCTTTACAATCTGTTGTTCAACTGGCACAGATGTTCTTTTCAAGTGTCGTACATTTTGCGCAATAGCTTGCAGAGTTACCTATGTACAATATCTGCTAGACTGTGATTAGCCTGCTTTCTTCGCCAAAGAGCTGTCTTTGCCCGTCTTGGGTAGCAATAAGCCGATACGCGACGGTGAGCCAAATCAGGGAATTCCTTTGGATTTTCTAAAATTTTACTAACAGCCTATTGCTAGAATATATTTTAGCTAGCTTTAATTTCTAAATCCATAATGAATCTTATAATCCCGGGGATTTCCAGTTTCCCATGTTCCAAATTACTTGAAGTTCTTCTTCCCGAATCCATTAAAATGTTCCACTGTTTCGCAACCGTCATCACCGCTAGACTTGCAGATCCGAGGCCAAGGTACGTTTTTTGTCTGTAGGATCTGACTTTCCTCAACCAGTATGCCGCCTAAAATGTTTTCGGATCATCTTTTGAGAGGAGTGCCACAGCTGCATTGCGTTTTTGCAGTTAAGATTCGATAGGATTTTGACTGTTTCAAAAATGCACCATGAACATCTTAACTCTTCGTACGTAACGCTGTCATTCGTTGAAGCCACTGCTTGGATTTTCTCTTTAAATATAATTATACATGCATCGCATTGCCACCAATATTAGACGCAATATAACTTTATCATATAGAAATGCGTAACGATACACTCACCACAATACCTATTTTCTCTTTAAGGCTGCTCGCTACTAATCGCCTCTTCTCATCGTCATTTTCAAATTTAGATATTGTTGCTCACCAAAAGGAATATTTTTTGTTGGAGGTTATTAGAGATATGTGTTGATTTAGAAGATGCCTCTGTAGTCATATTTCAAGCAGAATGTCGCTATCTGCTCCTAATTTTTTCGCCGTGGGTGTAATGAGCTGTTTACTGTTGGCTGTCGGCCGTCGGTGTTGTTGACTGACCACAAAAGACCCAGTTGCATTACACGATTGTGATTGAATCCCAGTAATATCTAGATCTCTACCTGGGGTGTCTGTACAACCTCATTTAAGTACAGGAGTTCCCGTGTGTCTATCATTCTCTTGGCTTCAGCATTTTTAGTACATTTTCGTCATGTGGTAGTTCAATCGAAAAAACATCATTTTCTCTGATTCAGCAAATTGTTCTGCCGTATTGCTGATTTTTCACTGCTGAGTATGCATAGAGTCGTTCTGGGGCCAAAAAGGCCTTATTCGATCTAGCATATGTCTCGCTATCTGGTTCTCTCCATATCTTAAAAAATTTCTTATCCATTATTCTATATTATTGTGTGTGGAGTGGATGGAGTGTGGCATATTATTATTATTATTATCCATTCATCATTATCATTATTATTATTTCCTTTTTTGTACAAACCATTGTTAGTGAAATGCAAGCAAAAAATAGAAAGGAAAAAAAAAACATTCTTTACCCCCTCCCTCGCTGTAATGTCAGGGCTAGAACCAAGGACTTTTAGTACTATTCCAAACTACTCCAAATGCACCCAAAGAAAAAAACGTCTCTTACCACTACCATGTCATATTAAGAGAAATTTTACTTTATCACAACAACACCCTTCCTCACAATTCACAGGGCCAACGGTAAATTGTAAGGAATAAAGAATGCAGTTGGAAACCCATTCTACAATCCAACCCTAAAACCCTCTCGACTTTTTGTATTTCCAAAAGCTAAGGAAAAATTGTGAAGACCATCAATGGGAGTTCAAAAAAGGTATTTACATCCAAATGAGAAAAACTTGCAGTTATCTCCAAAAAAGTGCAGTACAAACTGTTTCTGCCACTGGTTTCAAAAGATGCAACTTCATAACATGTATTCTTGAGAATATTTTGACAAGAAATAGTAGGTGATAATGGGAATAAATAATAATGTGATACATTAACTTCTAAAGTAATCATAACTGTAAATGAACTGTTATATATACACAAGCGTTCTAGTGTAGAGTAAGAGTTCTCATTAGAACTTGATCTTCAGAGATACAATTATCCTAGTAAAGTCATGGTTCCAGCAATTGTCAAGACATTCCTGTTAACACTATGTCTACAAGCATACCATACTCAAGTTTGCAACACATCTTAGAAAAGGTAATACAAAATAACTACATACAACAATAATACTATTTTTAGAATAAATACAAACCTATTTTGCCGATGGTATATAACGTTTTGAGAATTTTCAATGCTTTGATTGTAGCCACAAAAGCATTACTGTCCTCAAACTTTTCTGGCAATTCTTTGAAGTCAACTTGATGTGTGTAGTACTTGCTGACTAAAAGATATTTCTGGGCAAAAATCAACTGTAGTCCAAATGAACTGGAATTGGAGCTTTCATTCACTTTCTGCAAATACTGCCAGCCAATGTCATACTGGAAAGAAAAAGAGCACCTTGTACATATTGTTTCCTCTTAAAAAGTACTTTTCTGAAAACAATAGAATGTGAATCTGCGAATAAGCATTATCAATATCATTTTTTCCGGATAAAGTGTCAAGAAAAAGTTTATGAAAAACAATTTACACTACAAGAAATTAGACACTTCTTATTTCTGTGAATGTAATTGGCTACATATTATGAATATTTACAGCAGAGTGTTTCACAAAAGGATTTTGTAATACAACTAAAAGTGCAAATTAATTAAGAAAATCCCTCCTTTAAATAATTTTTGTTTGGCTGATCACAACATGATTTCACACAAAACAGATAATTGATATTGCTTTATAATCATTGAAATTTGGAAGTCTATAATATGGAATGTATTGCAGGTGACATGCTGAAATATGCATAGAAAAGTGATCTTCTGTTCATTGAAAGTTGCAACACAGACAAACTAGTGGTGCTACAGAATGGCACAGACTTTTCCATATTGGCTTTGTATTTTCTTTGGTCTCGCCTACCTAAACAAACTAGCCACACTCTCTTGCCAACTAACGTCTATCGCCGACCAACTTTTTTTATATTTTCTTAATTTTTCTATTTCCTCATAGTAGAACGGAAATATTAATTTAAGAATATTAATGAACAGTAAAACCTAGTCATAAATGGCCATTTTCTTTAAAAATTTCGAGTTGTTTTTAAGATAACGGAGTTTAAGGCCTATGGTAATTTCAAAATTTGAACCTCTTTTTCAGTTAATTTTTTTCAGTTTTCGAAAAACTTCATTAGAAGTCCTTTGAAGTATTTTACCTTGTATAAACAATAATGTTTACAAGTCGCTGGAAATGTGAAAATTAACAGCGTGAGATATTTTTCAAATAAATCACATTTTCGGGGGGGAAAACAACAAAAAAATACCCCGAAATGAACTTGACATCATATAAACGACTGCAATTAGCAATATCCTTTCGAAAAGTTGGAAGAAAAAATTTGGAGTCGTTTTTGAGAAAATGATGTTTGAGCGTTCCTGAAAATGCAGAATTTTCAGCATTTTTTTCACACCAAAAAAATTCGAGAAACTTTATACGACATTATTTAAAGCACATATACTCATAAATACCATATTGTGAACAATTTGCAGCTGATATAAATATTAACGATGTGAGATAAGAAAAAAAAAATTTGTGGTTTAAAAAAAAAAAACGAAAATATAGATCATTATGGCTTTTATCTCGTCTTATAGTGTACATTGAGCCCTATCTCTACCAAAAGTTTCATAAAAAAATTGTAGCGGTCTTTGAGAATACTGTGTTATTGTTAATTTTTTATAATTGCACATATTGCACGCAATATTGCGCAAAGACTACTAAAATTTTCAAAAAACTGTACATGATCTTAATGAAAGAACTCACTATGGAGAACAAATTTTATTTGAAGGGAAAATATCGATCTTTAATTTTGTAGTTGTCGGGAGACTACGAAAAAAAAATTTTTAAATTTTGAAGTTTTCGAACATTTAAAGTTAAGCGTGAAATTCGGACCTACGCCACGTTTATAAGTGTATGTTACTCAATTCTTACAAGAAATTGAAGCAAAAAAATTGGAGACTTTTTGAGAAAATATTTAAAATGTCCGGAGGGCTTCATGTAAAATACTCCCAAATTTTGAAGAACGTTTTTCAAAATCTCAGTCTCGACTAAAGTCAGATGGACAGGAGTTTCTTCCATTTTTGGAAAAAATCCTACGCATGGTTTAGGCGGTAGTAGAGTTCACACCAGAGGGACGGACAGATGTTTTGAAGGAAAAACAAACTAAAAAACAAAAAACAACACTTTATCAGTATCAGAGAACCACAAAAAGGATATTTCCGCCGAAATCTCAAAATCGATTTTCCGCAGCATTACATCATTTTCCCTGCACGCAAACTGCTAAAATTTCCAAAAAGATGTGCATGACGTTCTTGAAAGAATCAACTATGGAAGAGATATTTCATTTCAACGAAAAATCTGTATCTTTAATGTTGTAGTTGTAGGAAGACGCCTAAAGAATCCATTTTGAAATTTTCGAAAATTTAGAGTTAACCCTGAAAATAAGACCTACGCCATCTTTATGAGTGTATTTTACTCTATTCGAACACGAAATTTAAAGAAAAAAAATGGAGTGGCTTTTAAAAAAATTGACAATGTCCCTACGGCTTCGTGAAGAGTACTCCCAAAGTTTAAAGAATATTTTGCAAAATATCAAAGCTTCGATTCGAGACACACAGACAGGGTTTTCTTCAATTTGGGAAAAATAGTACGTATGGTTTTTGCGCTAGTGTTGTTCACAAACGGACGTTTTGGAAAATAAATAAATAAATAAATTTTTAAAAAAACACTTTTGGGGTATCAGGAGATCCCAAAACGTATACTTTCGTTGAAACCTGGAAATCGATTTTCAGCAGCATTGCGTAACTCTCTCTCTATACTACGGATATTTCTCCATATATCTTATACGAGAAAGTAAAAATACCGATTTTTCTGGCTTTCTAAAGTTAGCACGGAGTCAGGTGCGTCAAACTGGAACGGCCACGTCAGCGCAATGAAATGAAACATCAAATGGTTTACTGCTAATTATTTGCCACAATTTGGAATTAATTGTCCCGTTTTTACGAAGCAAAATCGAGTGAGCTGGATTGACGCGACGCCAGCAGACAAGTTAAATTCAGGTTGCAGCTCGACGGAAACCCTCCGATAATTTATTGCTAATTAAATGCCACAATTTGGAATGTATTGCCCCGTATCTTCGGGACGAAAACGGGTGGGCTGGGTGCCAGCACACACAAGTAAAATTCGCATCGTTGCTCGACGGAAACCCTCAAATGATTTATTGCTAATTATTATCATTTAATTGCCATAAAACAGGAATTGCCACGTATTTTCGCTGGGAAAGGGTGTAATCTGGACGTCAGCACACAGTTTAAATTTAGGTTGTAGCTAGACGGAAACCCTCAAATGATTTATTTATAATTATTGTCAATTAATTGCTTCAAATTAAAATTTATTTGATATACATGGCGATTAATTCCAAATTGTGGCAATTAGTAGTAAATTATCAGAAGGTTTCCGTCGAGCTACGACGCGAATTTAACTTGTGTACTGGCGCAGGCTGCACCTGTTTCGCTTCGAAGATACTTGACAATTAATTCCAAATTGTGGCAACTAATTAGCAATAAATCACCTGAGGGTTTTCCTCGAGGTACGAAATGAATTCAAAGTTTTCTTTGGTGTCTACTTGTGTGTGTGCTGGCGCCCAGCTCACACCCATTTTCGCCACGTACATACTGGCAATTAATTCCAAACTGAGGCAATTAATACGAGGGTTTCCGTCGAGTTACAACCCGAATTTAATTTGTGTGTCGGTGTTGCGTCAAGCCAGCTCGCACCGGCTTTCGCGTCGAAAATACTGGCAAATTAATTAGCAATAAATCATTTGACACGTTTCATTCCTGTGTGCTGACATCGCTCTTCCAGCTTGAAGCACCTCACGGAGTCGGGATGTCGAAAACTTTGGTTTGTCTCTAATGCTTATGTACATACAACATACCCTAAGAAAACGTTTTAGTTTTTTCAGGTAAGCCCCTTTTATTAAGTATTTGCCGACTTTACTGTAAAGTGTTCTAACAATTTTGATCAAACCTGATTCTAATGTCAATTGTTAAATGTATTTGGAGGTATTTGTGATGGAAACCAATAATACTCTTCGAAACTGGGAACAGTAAAGTGTCAGATGAATGTACTGTGTGTACAAATTATAATATACTAACCCATCATAGCATTATAGTAAATTAATATAATACGTACTTATAAGGTATATTTTTCTGTAGTTTCCTTTTCGTCCAGCAACGCGGAGGGCACACTGATAACTGGCTAATAGTATCTGTATCGTTCTATCTCGATATTTGTCGGAATTAGCTTTCAAGCACATAGCGGTCTCGACGAGCTGGTCTCATTGCCAAAAAAAAGGTTGGAACTGAGTGACAAGTCCCTGGTCTGACCACAAAATTCTCTATTAGGTCGACATTTCTCGGTGGCAAATCTAAAATTTCATTTCATCACCTCCAAAAATGTACAAGCTGTGAGGAAAAGGCGATTTTTTTTCTGGATTGGGTCATTTTGAGCACCGGCTGACAGGACATAAAACATGACATGAATATGTGTATAATTCAGAGAATTGCTAAAATGAGATAAGTCCATGGTCTGATTCCTGGAAGAGAGTTCGATATTTTGGTCTATGTAGTGTAAGTTTACAAATACTATTACTTATTTATAGTATAAAATACATTAGAGCATTTTGTTCTTACAGTACAAGTCAACATGTTTTTACCTAGGAAAAAAAGAGTACAAGACAACTTGAGCTAGTACTTTTAAAAGGGAACATTGTGGAAGTCATGTTGTACTTCGACTTGTTCATGGAAAATGATAGTGATAATACTGGCAAGATAAATGTTACCATTATTGTATTGGGAAAAGATGCAAAATAATGATGTAAAAAGCAAAAATAAGAAAATGGCAAAAATGGTGTCAGAAGCTAAAACAGGAAAAAAAGGAAAAGTAGAAAGCTACTAAAACAACTCCAGATGCACAATTAAGTGATTCTTATTGTCAAAAGTTCATGAAATGGTAAAAATAACGAAAAGGCATTTTGTCAAATTTCCAGGCTCTAGTGATAAACTACATGCTAGGGGGAAAAATTGCAGCAGTAAAAAAGGTTCTATGGAATCAGTTGATGCATGGATAGCTGCTCAACACATTGAGGCAGACAACGCTTACCTTCAAAATGACAAAGACAAGAAACGTTCCAGCTCTGATAATTCAACCTTAAGTTACACTTTGCTTTGCAACAATGTCTACACCATTTTTACTTTCCCATATACATACGTATATACAGAGTAATATAGGCAGTACAGGGAAAATTTTGTAATGCTGCGCAACAATCACGGCGAATTTTAAGCGAAAAAAGTCATTGCTGGGACCTCGTAACAAAAAAGTGGATAAATCCAGTTGCTAAATTAAGATAAAAAATCCTCTAACACATGGTATAGACAGAATTCATATTTTGTGGGTCCTTGATACCGAAAAATTGATTGATGGTAAAACGTCCCCCGATGCGATTTTGAAAATCATTCATTAATTTTTGGGGGTACTTTACACGAAGCCCCACAACATTTTAAAATTTTTCTCAAAAATTGCTCCAAATTTTTTCTTTAAATTTCTTGTAAGAATAGAGTAAAATACACTTATAAAGGTGGCATAGGTAAGATTTCCATCGATTACTATGAATTTTCGATAGTTGCAAAATTTAGAATTTTTTTCGACAAGTTCCTTCAACAACAAAATTGAAGATGGAGATTTTTCCTTCAAATGAAATTTGTTCTCCATAATTAGTTCTTTTATATACATTATTCACATTTTTTCAAAATTTTAGTGTTTTCGAGCAATATTGATTGCAATATGTGCAACTTCAAAAAATAACCAAAACAAGATTTTCTAAAAACAACCACAATTTTTTTCTTAAAAACTTTTGGTTGGGATCATGTTATTTGTTCTCTGTGAGGTGACATAAACGCTATATGGCTCTATTCTTTTTTCTTTCAAAAGTTACAAAAATTTAATTTTTTTGATTTTTCTATCAAGTCGTTAATATTTACATTTGCTGCAAGTTAATGCTGCGCTTTAAATAATGTTATATAAAGTTTCTCGAAAACTTTTTTATGTGAAAACTATCTCAAAATTCTGCATTTTCAGAAATGCTCAAAAGCCATTTTCTCAAAAATGGCTCCAAATTTTTTCTTTAAACTTTTCTGATGGATAGTGCTAATTGCACTGTTAAATATGGCGTAAAGTTCATTTTGGGGTATTTTTAGTTGGTTTCCTTTTTTCCCCAAAATTACACAAATGTAATTTTTTTGAAATATCTCTCATGTTGTTAATATGCACATTTCCAGGCATTAGTAAACTCTATTGCATTAGTAAGTTAAAGTGATTCAAATGACTTTAAATGAAGTTTTTCGAAAACCCAAAAATATTATGGGAAAAAGCTTTTAATTTCAAATTTGCACTAACGCTTAAACGCCATTTTCTTAATAATGGCTACAAGATTTTGAATAAAAATTGCCATTTATGATGGAGTTTTACTCCTTTATATATTCTTAAAATAATATTTCCGTTCTACTATTAGAAATCTAAAAAAATGAGAATTTAAAAAAAAAATGTATTCTGGGGCCAAATAGATGGCAGTTAACAAGAGTATTTGGCAAGTCAGCTAGCCCAGACCAAAGGTACTAGAAAACTACTTTGGGAAAGTCTCTGCCGTTCTGTTGCACCACTAGTTTAATACTTTAGTTACTTTTTATTGAAGGCCAATGTGGAAATAAAAGGGCATAGCGGAATAAGATAAGTGAAATTGGCCCATGACAAAACTACAAAAGGATATTATCTTATTATACTCCCAAAATAACCCAAAAAACAAAATATTGTAATTGTTTGTTACCATAGTGACGCAATATCAAAAAATGTGTATTTCGCCTGTTTCTCAATTTTCACGCTGTATCTCCTATTTTTGACATGTAATTTAACGATTTGTATTCTTTAGATCATTTTCAAAGATTTACACTAATTTTTATGGTATTTTTGACATTTGTATAAAATGCCGTATTATGAACACTTAAAAATTCAAACATATCTTCAGAGAGTTACAAAAGTTATAATGACTTTATACATTGCATGAAAATAATTTCACTAACAAAAAATAGCAATACAACTCTTCTTACTTACTTCGTTATTCAATAAGCAGCATCTGCTTTTTGTGAGATAGTAAGAAAATAACATCTCTTTTCCTTTGGAGTCAATGTTCTTTTGAACTTGATCTTCAAGTTTATCAGCTTCTTTCCACAACTTGAAATCATCTGTGTTACAGCTGAATTTCAGTAATTGACTTAGTCCTGGAAAATAATGCATTTGTTTAGGTAATATTACACCAACCTAAGATTATTACTATAAAATTACATAAAAATTGCTTTATTAAAATGGGGAGGAGTCAGTGGCTTGGCGGCTGAGGTGATGGTGGTGGCGGCAGAACCTAGGTGATGGGGGGGATAGTTGCGAAAGCATGATGATGGTGAGATTGAGGAGTGGTGGGAAGGCGTGATGGTGGGGTTGGGAGGAGAGACATGATCATGGGATAGGGAGAGGGTTGATGATGGTGGTTTTAGGGTGGGTGATTGTTGCAGGGTGGCGAAGTTGTAGTGGGGTTGCTGGGTTTTAGGTGAGGTTGGTATGATGGCAGTAGGGGTCATGATATAGTTATGGAGATCGATGATGGTGGAAGTAGCGGAATGTTGGGCGATGGGGATGGCGTGGCGTGACATGATGAAGTGTGTGGGAGTGGAGTGATGGTGGTGGGGCGAGGATGGCGTGATGGTGAGGAGAGGATGGAGTGATGGTGGTGGGGCG